TTTTCCCCCTTTTGGTGACAACCATATGATATTTGGTCCTACCCATTACTGAAGATTCAAGTATTGTTGAAATTTAAATATGGGTAATTCTTTTAATTTTTGAAAAAAATATAACTTTTGATTCCTACACTTTACTTGTGTTTTACTATAAGTTCTTACACTTTTTTTGATATTTTAAGTCCCTACACTTTTATTTTTTAATATTTCAGGTCCTTAAATGACCAAAATGAATAAAGTATAGGGACCTTAAATAAATGTAAAACACAAAAAATGAAAATGTAAAAATTTAAAATATTAAAAAAAATGCAGGGACGAATAGCAAAACATAAACAAAATATTGGAATCAAAAATTATGTTTTTTTAAAATTTTTTATATAATTTTTGGGTACAGCTCGAGCTTGATGAGGATTTTGTTGTCAAATTTTAAGAAAGTAAAGTTATTTACGTGTGATTTATAATTTAAAGACTTCTATATATTTACCCTTTTTTTTGTGCTCATTGCATAGCCATGGCCTTTCCCTTTCATTAGAAGTAGAAAATATGAAGGAAATCAAATAAAGCGTTTGAGCTGTCTTCACAAGAAAAAGGTTTGGGAACCAATAAATTTGTTTATGTCATATAAGAAATATAATTTGGAGTTCTAGAGGCCTGTTTGTTTCTAGTTTTTAAAAATTATTTTTTATTTTTGAAAATAAAAAAATTGTAAAATTTGTTTGGATAAATGTTTTTTATTTTATTATTTTTAAAACTGTTTTTGTTTTTTAAAACCAAAAAAATAGAAACAACTTAAATTTGTTTTCATTTTATTTATTTCTTTTTAAAATATACTACATTTAATTATTAAAAATTACAATTGTTTTGAATAATTTTTATCATAAATCATTACCATTAACCGTTTATAGCTATAACTATTTGTCTATTTTTTAATTACAAAATTATTTTAAAATTAATATAACCAAATGAATTTTTATTTTGTTTTGTATTGAAAAACAATTATGAAAACTATATTATAAAATAGTTTTTAAAAATAAAAAAATGAAAACAGAAACTAAAAGGCCTGTAAAATCCCTGCAATTCATGCAGTTTAAACTAAGAACAAAAATACCAAATAACAAAGTTTATGCTTTCTGCAGGACTTGCTTATATTGCAAACCACACCACATGATAATATAAATAACAACAATTACTTCTTAGTACAAGCAATACAACTCAAAGATACACATTAAATTGAAAACTATCACAATAATGGCAGACAAAGAACTTGAATGACCCTTATCATCTTATTTCTATCTATCTTAGTAGTTTAAAATGCTAATAGTACAAAAATGAATAGAGCACAAAGAAGGTTATCACGCGTTTTCAGACGCTATTATATGTCATCTTTTTTTTTTATCATATTTTGTACATACTTGTGAGAAATATTAAACGAATTATTTAACTCTCTCAACGCAATTCGAATAATATTCAATCCTAATATCCCAAAGAGGAGGGAACTCTCAAGTACTTTCTCATTATACCCACAATTGAGTAACATACCCTTCACTCAAAATCTCCCATGCCATCCTTGTGCTAAAAACTTCCTTGATCCTGAAAAAAGAATTTCAATAATATAATCAATATTCCTAAACCTTCAGAGGTATGTTCCCATGTATATTGTCATTTAGTATATACATTCATGCATATTACTGTTATGCACCAATAACTAAAATAATGAAGGGATATACCATAACTATCAAACTTGTAGCAGATTATATCATTACATATTCTAATAACCTGAATACTATCTGCTTGAAGGTTCATTACCAAGTATCCGACCAAAGTGGATCAACTTCAGTGGTTTTTTTTATGCTATTGCCAGTGAGCTATTGAGAACAAATATCCACAAACTAATGGAGCAACTTGAGTAGGTACTTCAATTTTCAGCCAACTATATGTTTAATAGTTTCTGTTATTCTCCTATAGTTAACTTAATAGCGAAAAAAACATGCCCAATGATCGTTAAAACATGATGATGGTATCTACCATTGTTACCCATAAACATTAGAAGATGTAATTGGCAAGATCATGCCAATGAAACTAAGTTACTCAAAATATAACTTGACAAGGAAATCATCCAGCCTCAGCGTAATTGCTTTACAAGAAATGGATCAGGTGACATAGGCATGATTTGTATAACCAAGTTGAAAAGGCAATCCAATGATTCACAAATATATGATTCATAATTATTATTGAAAGCTTCTTCCTGATCATGTGTGAAATTACATTGTCATATGTTATTTCAACTCTTGGATTAACAAAAACTTCTTTTGTTGAAGGTTGGTGATTCAACTCCATTATCCATGACCACAATTGTAAGATTTATTCATATTTTAGAATTAATATTGTTGACGATGTGTTTACTCAATTCTTTTTCCTCTCATCTCAACTAAATTAACTCCCACTTTCCCCATTCCTGTCTAAACAGGCCACCAAATCAATTATAGAAGACAATGATCAAACAGTGTCCACTCCCACAAGTTCATTGGTTCGTAAAAGAATGCTGGAAGAAGACAACAATACAATGGCCAATGGCCATTTAACATTATCAGAGATCCGCAATTCAACCATAACAAAAATAAAAAAAATAAAAAAATGAAGTGCATCCCAAAATTAGAACACGATGAATCTATAGCTCCGGGTCTGTCAATGATATCAGTGGATGAGTTTTCCGCCACCAACCCTGCAAGAGGATCAAAAGACAAAAAAACCAGTCATGTGTAACACTACGGTATATTTGTGTGCATCTTTGTTACCCATTGAATTATATGCGTCACGTTTATATTAAGTGGCAAAACTTCAGTGAAATATAATAATCTAGAATTGTGGACTTTTGCATGGGTCTCTTGTGTGATGGTTGAGCATGTAATGTAATGATACTATGTATCCTATGCATCTTAAGACATACATGATGACTACGGGATTAGTACTTTGTGTTAAAATTTTACTACTACCACCAGATGTAGGTTACAGGTGCTGCAATTTAATTATGGGGAAAACATAATTTCCAAAATAATTTTTGCTTTGACACGCACACCCTTGCAAGTTTTACATTATTAATCTAGCACCAAAAATATCGAATTCATATAGAGCGAAACAGAAAGTTATAACCAAACAAGAACAAATTAAAATACAACAACTCTAAGGTAAATGATATATAAAGAATAACAAATACAAAGAGCAATGGCCCATGCATGGATTAGAACAAACAGAAGATACTGATGAGCAGGACAATTACAAGTGGTTTGTTTTCGTACCCTACGCTCCAACATATTTTCATACCAGCTTAAATAAAATACCTCTAAATAATCAATAATCAATTAGAACAAACCGTAGGTTGAAACCGACTACCAGCACAATTACAAGTCGTTTGCTTTCGTACTCTACGCTCCGAAATATTTCCATACTGGGTTAAACAAAATAATATTAAATAATCAATAATCTGCAAAATCAGATTATCACATGTTCCACCTACTTAATTAAAAAATTAGAAATATCTACACAATTCATATGAACAATTCTTATATTCCGTGCATGCGCATGAGGCCAAAATCTAATTAAATATAAGGAGAATTTCACTAAAGTCTTATTATATTTTTTATATTAAGTATGTTTAAGGATAGTATATTTTATTAAAATAATTTAAGCAAATTAGTTAGATACTTTTAAAGTTTATATATTTATAATATATCATCTAATATTTAGAGGTGGAAATTCTTTTATGTTCTAATATTTTTTCCACCACTTTTTTTCTTTTCCATTTTCTTCTTCTTCTTAATACCATGTTATATTCTTATATTAAACATATTTAAGGATAGTATGTTCCATCAAAATAGCTTAAACTATTTATTTAGATATTTTTTAAGTTTATATATTTATAATATACCTTTTAATATTTAGAAGTGAAACTTTTTTTATGTTCTAATAAGTTCCTTGGATGTGACACAATTTTAATCCGGTGCCAAAAAATTTTAAAATTTCATTGCAAGCTCGAAGCATTAATATAAAATAAATTCTCTTACTTGAATGATCAAAATGCCCTTCAATTATAATTAAGATTAAAGATATAACAAGCCAACTTACTATTTTTACAAGTAATATATTAGTAGATTATTAAGTTAAGTTATAAGTTTTACAAGTAGCATTAATAGAATAAACATAACTTCTTGTTATTCTTATAATATTACTTATAAAAATCGTAACTTGACTTGTTATTATAATCATATTACTTATAAAAATCACAACTTAACTTATTACTATAGCACTATTACTTGTAAAAATTATAACTTGTTTTGTTTACTAATATTTTTTGTAAAAATTGAAACTTAACTTATTATTTTAGTTTTATTATTTGTAAAATTTTTAACTTGACTTGTTATTATACTAATATTACTTATACAAATTATAATTTCATTTATTATTTAAGTAATGTTATTTGTAAAAATTATAATTTAACTTATTATTTTAATAATGTTACTTATAATTGAAGGGTATTTTGATCATTCAAATAAGAGAATTTATTTTATTTTAATGCTCTGGGCCTGCAACAAAATTTCATAAGTTTTTGAAACTCAGTTGAAATTATATCACATTCAAAATTTTTTCAATAAAATTCTCCTTTCAATATATCATTCCTAGAGAAGATAAATATAAAATATTGTGGCAAAAAAATGTGTATCAAAATGTCAAAATATTATTTATATATGTGTACCAATACATCATAAATAGACGTGTCTATCAAGGGGGGAAAAAAAGAAGTTACGTTACATCTCACAAGTTATACAGCGTGCCGTGCTCTAACTTTAATCTAACCTAATTAAAAGTCTCCGTAATTTTTATTTTTATTTTTACTTTTTTTTTGAGAAAACTACGAAAACGTGTAAGCCTGCAAGGTGTTTCACACTTTCACTTTTGCGTCTGTTTCTACAGAGAATCCGATACAGGAACGGTGAAGGAAGGTTCGAGAAAGGAGAACTGGGGCTCATAATTAAAGGACGAAGAGAAAGTCAGTGGAAGCCAAATACAGTGGGCGCTACTTGAATTCTCTGAAAGTTTCAACATATGGAAATAAAATCACACAAAAGTACAAAACCCCACGACTTTTCCACTTCCTGGTTTCTCTGATTCATTCCAGTTTTCTCATTCCTGCATTGCTTGTTCGGCTCTTTTTCCCCATTTCTATAAAATGTCTCTCTGTCCTTTCTCTACCATCATACCGAGTTCATTCTCTCTCCCTAACTTCCCCATGGATTCTAGATACGTCCTTGCAATTTTGTTCTGTTTTCTCTGTCTTCTCCCCGATCTCTCTGTCTCTTCCATTAGATCGCTGGACCTGGGCCTAGATATGACCACGTAATCGCCCACATCCACACTTTTTTTTTGCGTGTTTGTGTGTAAAACGTTGATTAAATGTTTCAATTAGTTTTTTATTTCTAAAAATCTTTTCAGGCATGGATCGGTTCTTGGATTGAACAGGGGAAGCTCATCAGTGAAATTCGATCCTACTCGGGTCACTCAACTGTCTTGGCGTCCCAGGTTTTTAGCCTTTTTTTTTTTTTTTGGTTGCATTGGCTGAGACATGCATTGAGTCCCCCCCTCTTTTGTGAAATTTACCGTACGCAGGGCTTTTATATACAAGAAATTTTTATCCGAGGAAGAGTGTGACCATTTGATTAATCTGGTTAGTTTTCTGTTATTATTATTATTTTGAAATGGCCGCTGTTGGTCTTCTGTCCAAAGAGTATGTTATCTTCAATTCCCGAATTTGTACTATCAGGCCAAGGACAAGCTAGAGAAATCTATGGTAGCGGATAATGAATCGGGCAAAAGTATAATGAGTGAAGTCAGAACGAGTTCTGGGATGTTTCTTAACAAGGCTCAGGTATAATTATTTGTGGATCTTCTGTTTAGCTGCACCGTATTTGATGCTGGTATGCTTTACTCAAAAAATGAGGCGAGAAGCAATAAAATATTGTTGCTCTTGTCTCTGCATTGCAGTTCTATCAAGAAACTTCATTTTTAACTCTATGAACACACTCACGTTTATCATGTAAGTATAGTGTTTAACATAAAGAGTTGCGTCATTGCCAAAAATTTCTTTGCTATGCTTTTTATCCTCTTTGAAACACGTTATTCTTTTTATCTTTTAAGGGAAATTGGTGTTTTGTGACGAGAGACGATGCACATCAGTGGAATATTTCTGTCATCTGGTGAATTTAGTTTGAGGACCCGGAGTTAATAGAATTTTCATTTTATTTTTACTGTCAAATATCACACTGGTGCATTTGGGGAAGTTTTAAGGAAAAGTTTATACAAAATTGTTGTGACGATTTAGCTGTAGCCTGTACTTTCATGATCTTGAGTTTTGTTCTCAAAAAGCCTTATCAATTAATTTACTTTTCTGTTTTATATCGAAGGATGAAATAGTTGCTGGTATTGAAGCCAGAATTGCTACATGGACCTTCCTTCCAATAGGTGGGTGCAATATTATGCTGTGATTCATTTCAATGCTTGTATATTTTTCCAGGGTGATTTCTCTTTCATATTTATCAGTCTCTAAAGCCATCTATGCCATCAGAGAACGGTGAATCTATTCAAATACTGCACTACGAGAATGGTCAGAAGTATGAGCCACATTTTGATTACTTCCATGACAAGGCTAATCAGCAATTGGGAGGCCATCGGATTGCCACTGTGCTGATGTATTTGTCTAATGTTGAGAAGGGTGGCGAGACTATTTTTCCTAATGCTGAGGTATGAAACATATAATGAGCAATCTTAATGTTCATCTGAAAGAAATCCATTGTTGATTTGTTTGCCATTTTTAGGCACGGTTATCCCAGATAAAGGATGATAGCTGGTCTGAATGTGCAAAGAAAGGCTATGCAGGTATAAATTCTAGGATGCTTTGACGAACAATTGCCAGATTTTCTGACAGTTTGGTTTCTTATTATCATCCCTGAAAATTTTGAATGATGTCAAATGTGCATGCCCTTATGATCTTTTTTGTAGCAATATTCTGTTGTTACCCTTTTATAGGCTATAGTATGTTATCAAATCATGAGTTGGTATTTTAACGATAAGGATTCATCGCCAGGCTGTTTTTCTCTTTGCTTGATGTGCCAGATTCACTACATTGCCTCTCTACTGATATTGAATAGTTTCTTTTTTATTTCCTTGTAAACGGCAATATGGATGATTAAACATGAGATTTCTGTGAACCACCCAAGCCCCTGGCTACTGGCTGCTAAACTAAATGTGGTAGCTTGCTGTTAAATATAATTGTAGATTTGTCACCAAAAAATATAATTGTGATTGTGTAAGAGCTTGTTTGGGTTATTTTTCAGAATCAAAATGGGAAGGGCCGAAGGGGGGAAAGGTAGAAATGTCTCCATTGTTTGATAACATTTTTTTTTTTGCCCATTAGCTGCATCATTGTGAAATATTGCGATACAGGGGTTGTTTTATTGATTGATCAAGTAGTACCAGCCAGTTTTTGTCGTTGACATTGATTGCATTTGTTGCCTCGCTGTTTCGGTATAAATATGTCCGGCTCTCTGTGTCATCTATAACAATTAGCTCTTGTGTCATTGTTTTGGGTCATGGCATAATATCTAATGCCATTCCGTTTATATGTAACAGTAAAACCAGATAAGGGTGATGCCCTGCTGTTCTTCAGTCTTCATCTGGATGCGACCACAGATCCTTCGAGTTTGCACGGAAGCTGCCCGGTGATCGAGGGTGAGAAGTGGTCCGCAACCAAGTGGATTCACGTGAGGGATTTCGACAAACCAATCAAGAGAAGTGATGATGGGGAGTGTGTGGATGAGAATGTAAATTGCTCCAAGTGGGCTAAAGTCGGGGAATGTGAGAAGAACCCACTTTACATGGTTGGAAATGAGCAGGTCAAGGGTTACTGTATGAAGAGCTGCAATGTCTGCTAGTTCTAGGGTTTACTAACTGTATATAACACATTTTTCCCGGCCAATAACTGTCCTATTTTATTCACCAATCCCCACGCTGGGTCAACGTTGAGGGAAAGATACACGAAGTTGCCTATTTTTCTCTTTGCAATATGATGCTAATGCTTTTGACCTCCCCGGATGGATTCATAGTTGTATCAGTCTGGATCACTGCGTTACACCAGATCCAGATAATTGTAGTCATAAATAGATGACTTGTTGGTAATTTAAAAAAAGAGTTAAAATTTAGTTTTGTTCTTGAATTATATTTTCATGAGTATCCAGTGACTTGATCTCAAACTTTTACGGCTAATAATTTCTCCAGGCCAGTGATTTTTTTTTTTTTAAGAGCAAGGGAAAAAAAAAAGGTTGGGAGAAGCAAAGGAAGAAGAAATTGGAGGGCACGTCGAACTAATCGGCGAGCAGGGAGCCGGGGATTGTGGGGGGGGGGGGGAGAGAGATGATGACATGGAGGCACGTGACAGCTCATCAAATTTTTAGGTCTCATCTCACTTGTCTCACTCGACATCTGTTCGCATCTATTTAATGATAAGTTATTAGGTGATTCGTCTTTTAAAGTTTAGGAGGTTAATACTCCTAAGATATATAGTTTGGAGACGAAAATAAATTTTAATCCTGAAAAAATAAAATTTGAATCCCTTGTAAGTGCTTGGGTCTTCTTAAGTAATCCCACTAAAATTAAAGCGATGAGGTGTGAATTTTTCCTCCTGTACTGTAATAATTAGCAAAAAAACCCTGATTTCATAAATAAATTAATCTTTATTTCTATACATGTATTTGAATAAGTTTAATATTAATAAATATATAGTTTACATAATATGTTATTTAAATAAATGTATTTAAATTTTTTATGATATCATTACCTATAAATTTTCGCCTCATTATCTTTGGATACTTTTACATGTAAAGATGACATAAAAAGGCAGCGGTTACCGTAAGAGACAAATCAATAGATTTTTTCTCCTAACTAATACATGTTAAGAGTGTTGGTACTTGGTTGTCTTGATGAGTCCTTTAACATGGTTTTTTTTTTAAAATGAAGGATATCCTCTATTCTGAAAGCCGAAAGTGTTTAGCCTTCTACAGCAGAGGATGAAATTAGAGACAAGGCTGAAAAGTAAGAATGATGGGTGAAGAGACAGAAGGTTGAGTCTCCATGCTCCAACCCCACTTTTTTTTGCTATATATAGAATAGTTCCATTTCAGATTTCCTCGAGATATAAATGACCTTCTTACGCATGAGGGTCACTTTCTTTTCTTTAGGTGAAAACCACTTCTACTGAAATCTTCTTCTTGTTGGTGGTGGTGGTGGTGGTGGTGTGTGTGTGTGTGTGTGATTCTAAGGAAGAGAGGTATGACTGTGAGCCATAAGTAGCATGAGAAGATATCTTCTTAGTTTGTGAGCCTCACATAAAAGCTTGGATTGCATGCTGCACAACAGAAATGAAAATCACTGTTTAAACATGTATAAAGGTCATTCGATTTGTACCCGATTAGATATTGCTGTTGGAGGCCAAGCTCATGAGAGAGAGAGAGAGAACAGGAGAGGGAGGCAATTGCAGTATGTTTCTGATGTCATACAAAATGGTTTCATTTTTTAAAGTTGCTTTTCACAGAAGATGAAGACGTTCATGCAATTCTTGTTAGCATAAACCCATCACTGCATGCTTTCCTTGCCTCTTCATATCTTAAAACGCTAACAGCTTTCTTTCAAGGCTTTAAAGTTATGTACCTCTGCATCATCAGCATTACATAATTAATCTCCCAGCTCCTTCATTCTCTGCCAGAATGGGAAGGCCACCTTGCTGTGATAAATCCAATGTCAAAAGGGGCCTTTGGACTCCCGAGGAGGATGCTAAACTGCTCGCTTATGTCTCCAATCATGGCACTGGCAATTGGACTCTGGTTCCTAAGAAAGCTGGTTCATTTCTTCCCACCCTTTATTCTAAAGCACCAATATAATATTATTGTCACTTAAACGATACTCCAACTCCAACTTCACGATTTTTTTTTTTTTTTTGGCTTGCAGGGTTAAACAGATGTGGTAAGAGCTGTAGGCTCAGGTGGACTAACTATCTGAGACCTGACCTCAAGCATCATAGCTTCACACCCCAAGAGGAAGAGCTTATTATTAACCTTCATCAAGCTATAGGAAGCAGGTTTACGTTTAATTTGATGTTATGTTATATTAATTTGTTTTCAGTTTAATTTGTCTCCGAAAAGAAAGCAGAATTAGCACGACACGAAGAGCAAATATATATATTTACATATAACTGGCTTGGATTATTGAGAAGGAAACTGACCATCGTATTGGGCATGCATCACAAGCTTGGCGCCATTGCCAGCCATATATCTGTTTTCTTTTGTACGTACATTTGAAAGGTAACGAATGTTGCATCTTTTTGAGGCATCTGATCAGTGTTTAATTGTTTTTTTCTGGTGCAGGTGGTCTTTGATTGCGAGGAGACTCCCTGGGAGAACAGACAATGATGTGAAGAACCACTGGAACACAAAGCTGAGGAAGAAGCTTATGAAGATGGGAATTGACCCGGTGACCCACAAGCCTGTGTCTCAAGTCCTTTCTGACTTGGGAACTATTAGCTGCCTCTCAACTGTAACAACTGAAACACGACCCGCAAGCACCAATCTAATGGTCTCTAATCAGCTTGATCAAGAGGTGCAATCCCAATTCATTAACCCAGAGAATGACGTCCAGTCACACCAGAACGAAGCTGCGTCTTCATGTTCCTCGTCATCGTCATCATCTTCCTCTAGTATCACACGACTAAGCTCACCTCGCTACGTCATGGCTGCTGCTGCTGTTCCTGCCCCCTGTTCATCGTTTGATTGGAGCGAGTTTCTTCTGAGTGACCCGTTCATGTGCACCGAGTTTCAACAGCTGAATCAGTACGACATGAATGGGGTTTCGTCGTCGTTGAGTCCCTCGGTTATAATGCAGAACCAAATTCAATTTTCGAATAATGCAGGTGATGAGGGTTCAGGAGTGGTTGTGGCTGATGAGGCGAGCGTGAAGCGTCAAGTCTTTGATAAGCAATATTGTGAAGGGACTGCTTCATCATCTTCATTCGTGGATGCCATTTTGAACAGAGATAGTGAGATTAGGGCAGCATTTCCTCAACTGCTAGATGCATCCACTGATTACTAGATTCCCCTTTTCTTTTTCCTTTCTTTTTTCTTCTAAGCTAAAGTGGCATATATAGTTTGAACTACGCGATATCCCTCTACGCTAAAGCGGGGAAATTTAAGATTGTGTTCTCAGACTGTTTCATAGGAATGGTGGGATCACATTATTGAGCATGAATATAACAGCCTAAACACTTCAATTTTACCAGTGCTACTTGATTTGTACTGCCTTTTTTTTTTTTACCTTTTTGATTACCAATTCAAAAATAAAATAATTTAATGATTTATTTCAGTAAACTAGTTGTGGTTAGTGTTTAACCTAGTTGTGTTTAGTGTTTAGTTATAATATGCACATTGATAAATGAAATAAAATACAGAAGTTATATTATATTTTAGATCACTTGTAACTAGAATCCAAGTAATTAAGGCTTCACCTGCTAAATACATTGAGCCAGGGCTACGTTAGGATCATTCATCTTTAGACATTAAAGAATAAAGATTAATCTCTTCATGTGTGTTGAGCCAAGGCCAATTTAAGATACCAATATCCAAATGCTAAAGATTAGTTAATCTTATAGAACTTAATTCAAGCGAAATCCATCCTCAATTGATCATGATCGATCGGCAATTTTTTCCTGTGCACAAGTTCTTTTTTTAAAAGAGTCAATTGTGTAGAGCATATCCGAATCTCTGCTAAAGGAAGATTTAGAGACCCCCTTCCTCCCTCTGATGCGAAGTACAACTTACAATGGATGCATAACAGGACAAAATTTACGTAGCCTTCTTACATATAAAACAAGACTCAATTTACAGCAACATAAAGCTGGGGTACATAAGGACAAATTCCAAATTACAAGGCGTTCAAGGACATATTCCTCAAACTTTAAAAATAAAAATGAAATCTCCAATATTTTATTTTCTTTTGTGTAAGAAACAATTATATATAAAATTTCGCTGGATAAATTCATTAAAATTTAAAATATTCATAAAAATTTGGGCAAAAGGACAAAAATACTTGAAAAATTACTAACCAAGAGCATCCAATAATTTAAAATAAGAAAAAGTGCACAAGTACTCATGAAATTATTTTTTCAATGCATCTATGATCAAATTGCTAAAAGTCAACAGTATTGATTATTAAGTTGGAGATTTGAAATTTAATGATTTGATCACAAATATGCTGAAAAAATAACTTCATGGGTGCTTATACATTTTTCGTCACTTTAAAATACTAGATGTTCTTGACAAATAACTTTTAAGTATTTTTACCTTTACCCTAAAAGTTTTATAATATCATAAAGCTTAAAAAGTGACTTAGGGTTTTCCTTTGTATTTTAATATCTGTATTGTCTATAATATATAACTATATGTGCTCTGTAGATGTGTAATTTAAATTGGTAAACAAAAAACCAAGAGAAAAAAGACCTAAGGATAGGTGACAAGTATTGTCCTATCATAATCATTGTTACTTGAATTAATCCAGATGATTGAATCATCACTCAAAAATAAAATGATTTGGTTCAACCATTTGGCATATTTTGACAATTGGTTCACTTTGACCTGAGTGATTCTTGACGATCTAAAACAAAAACTCAAGATTTGAAATAATTGAACTGTTTTAACTTATTTTTGTATGTGTGATTTTTGATGATTCGGAATAAAAATTCAAGACTTGAAATAATTGAATTATTTTAACCTATTTGTGTGTGCGTATGTGCATGTGTGCCTGTGTGAATATTATTTTTTATTTAGTTATTATATCACTAGTTAAACTATAAGATCCATGACCTACTAATTTTTATGGTTCATTGTTTGGTCTAATTTTTAAAACATTAATCATAATTCAACCTTCTAAACATAGCTATGCAGCCTACCACAAGTGCAAACACAAGAATCACCACGCAAAAATTTCTAACAATAGTAATGCAAACCCAAATGAATAGCCAGTCAAAAGTTATGCCTCAATTAATTATGTGTAAATGATAAATTAGCTCTATAAATTTAGCTAGGTATTTGCTATATTGGCATTTACAAGATTTAGGAATTCAGATCCCGGACCTCATACCTCAAACCAAAATTAAATATGATTAATTATTTGAAGGACAGAAAATAACTTAACTGGGAAGGCGCAGAGAAAACATATAAAGGATCCAGGGAGACAGAGATAGAAACTCATCACCACTAATCTCCCATGTTGCAAAGATCGTCTCGTTCATTTCGCAGACAAGGGTCTTCTGGAAGGGTATGGAATATTCGAGTTGATTCCTTAGAATCAAAAGATACTGCTAATTCTGCTGCATCTGTATCCACTAGGAATGAGGATGGATCGCAAGTTAAAGAGAACAGTAAACAAGAAACGATAGAAGAAAATAGAAGTACCGAATCAAGTCCTCAAAGCACATCATCGTCTTCGCCTTTCGTCTCCGTTTGAAGATAAGGTACGCACCAGTTTTATATCATCCATTTTTTGGATCTGCATCTGTATGGGTTATGATTGTTTTGAAAATTGAATGACCTGTGTTTTTAATGTCAATCTGTGATCTCTCCCTCATATTTCTTTTCTTTAGTTTCAAGTCAAGCCAGGTTCACACGTGCGATTGTTAAATATACATCCACAGTTTCTTTTTTCCCCTTTCTTTCTTTCTTTGCGTTTTTTACAAGAAGAATGATCTGAGATCGGGAACAGGGGGGAAAGGGAAACGAGGGGAATCTCTTAGAAGGATTACTAGTTTATGGTGTAGGACTACAATATAAACTACTAATTTACACTATGTTTCGCTGTTGAGATATATAGGCGGTTTTCTGGTTTGTGTTGGTTGAAAAAAAAAAAGAAAAAACTCTCTTTTTAATGAAAGGATTAGATTCTGTGATTGGCATTTAGAAGGAAGTATTACTTAGACTAAAACACTGTTAGCTTTGGTTTGATTATGATAGACAAGAAGGATTACTTTTTCATTCTCATTTGTTTAATTGGCCACTTTCAGTTTTTTATTTTTTATTTTAACAGAAATCGGTAACCAATGCTAAATCAGATTATTTAACTATATTTATTTTGTCTATTACTTGTTCGTTTCCATAATTTTCAATCGTCATATCCGATGAGACCATTAAATGTTTTTCCAACACATGAATGTTTTAATATGTTATTATAGAGATAATTGTAAGTGCTGATATGACATTTTCAAAACTTTAAAAACACTAGACAAACCAATGACATGTTTAGTAACATAAAATAATTTTAAGGCTTGTCATAGATATTTATTAAGTCTCTGTTTTTTTTTAATTGATAGATGTATAAAAATATTATCAATTTCAGTAAATAATCATTTAAGATATGTCAATGGGAGAATTTCAAACAACGACTATGAATGTGATATAGTTATTAGTGAATTTTAAAAAATTTTAAATTTTTAATTCACTTCGAAGGATAAAAATAAAAAAAATTTAATTGTGAAAAGATTAAAGTACCATTCTTTTATTATAAAAAATTACTAATTATTAATTTTCTTACTTCATTTATTAATTTATTAATATCACTTATAAATTACTTTTTTTTTCAAACAAACAATAACATTAATTATTAATTTATTAATATCAATTATAGATTATAAAACCTGTCAATAATTTACAATTGATATTAGCAAATTAATAAGTAAAATTCTTATGATTAAACAATTAATGTCAAATTTTATATAATTATTAACATGTCAGCTAATGTAATTTATAACTCATATAGTAAATTAACACGTAAAATAAAAAAAATTATTAACTAGTAATTTTACATAACAAGTGAAGAATACTTGATCTTTTTACAGTTAAAATTATTTTCACTTTTATCTTCCTAAACTGAATTAAAATTTCAAATTTTTTTAAAACTTATCAATAATTATGTCTCATCCCTGATTCTTATTTAAAATTCCCCCTATATCAATTTCAAAATTTTATCAACACCCATTTTTCATCGTCTAATATTCTCATGTCTAATATATTTCAGTACCTAAAAAGCGAGCACAGAAAAAGGGGGAGTAAACACAACAGAGATCTCAGAATAGTTATCTAACTTGATTACGACACTCATTGTGAGTAACTGCCGCCGTTGAACAATGGTATTATTCTCTTTTTCGGGGGTACAACTGATCCAATACCTGGAATCACATTTTATTATTCTCATTAATGTACATTCAATGAATTCAATGATACAATACAACAGTTACCTGGGCAGAAAAGCTGCAGAAGGTAGGAATAGGATCACTCTGAAACTTACTGAGGTTAAGACTCTTTTTTACGTGCATACAGATTGAAAAACTAAGAATCTAACACGAGGTGACTCAAAAACCAATCTGGTTGAAATTGGTGTGGTCAACTTTATTTAGACGAATAGCGCATAATATATGCTCTGGCAAGTCTTCTGCCTTGTTCCCCTGTTCCACCAAAATCAATAATACAATGTTTATCACACAAGACTTGAATCTTTCTGGTAACAACCCAGAAAAATATGGTATATAAATGACATATTCAGATTCCAGGAGAAGACATGCCAAAGCATATTAGGTCTTAATGTCTGTTGTTGGGCCTTGAATCATTTTCCCACACATGACGGCAAAGGTGAGAGCAAATAAATACAATTTGTACAAAAAAAGAAAAAAATACAGTATTTTAATACTCGACATGTACAAGTGTCTCTTAAATAACAGTGGCTCTTACCACATGCCAATAACGATTTCAATTAGAAGTTTACTGACAATTTTTTATAAACTAGAATAAACTTCCACGGGCCCCAAATAAACAATTTAGAATTTATGACCAGTGTTTATGAAAGTCGAATTGGATCATTAAATTAATCAAGGAACCAATTCATTTAACTTTCGAAACTTGTTAATCAACAGCCGGTCAATTATCAACAAATATAAAAAAACAAACGATTTGACACTAAAGCAATCAAGAACCAGTTTTTTCTAAGTTTTGTTTAAATAGGGTTTTAATATTTGATAGAGACTTATGTGCTACAGAGTATAGACTTCCTTCAACCAATAGGTTTGTTCTCGTATGCAAAATGTTTCTCAAGTGTCTTTTGTATGTTTTAAATTTTTAAATCTATTTTGGATATTAATTTATAATATATACTCCCTCCATTCAGAAATGTAATACATTTTTTGAGGGATTGAATGTTTAAAAATATACAACATTTTTAGTCTTTCAAGATGTACTAATTGCTCCTTTTTTAAAAGCACCTCTATTAAATAAATCGCTTTATATTTATTTAAAATAAAGGAGCAAATATGAAAAAGTATGGTCTACTTGAAGACAAGTAGCTACTTTATTAGAAAATGAGATTTAATTAAAAATGCCTTATATTTTTTAATGGAGGGAGTATATATTAATTTATTTGAGATATATTATATACAAAAAGTCAATATTGCAGCCAATTAGCTGGTTTCCAAAACCGAAAAAAAAAAATATATTGACAGAACTTTCCAACAAATGGAAGTTTCACTATCCAGTGAATTTCTTAGTGCAAAGAAAATGGTTTGTTATTAGAAGTTTGCAGCAGCATAAATGATATTTTATTATAAGAGCAGCAGCACCAGTAAAATTTTACTACATACCAGTAGAAAGTTCAGGCTGCACATAACTAAATAAAGAACAAGTATTACCTGAATTGTTAGGCCAAAATCTAAGATACAATGCTTCAACCTTTCTATGAAGCCTTCAACTCCTTTTCTAGCAATGTAATTGAATCTGTGCACGTCCAAATCAATCTCAAAGTAGTTTTCTCCCTGCAAAAGTATAGCAAAAATAGCATCAAAATTCAAATCTTTCAACAGCTCAGCTCTAACATTTTGTTATTCAAGTTACTTCATGCATAATTAAATTATAACAGCTTTTACCAAAAATGAAAAAACAAAACAGAACAAAATACAGCACACCATATTCTCTCACTTCGCTTTGGACACTATGCAAATGCAGAGCATCATAAGAGACATGAAATAATGGTTACAAGTTACATTAACCTGGGAAAAGAATGAAACCAGGAACATTTGACATGAATTCCAAAAAGGGAAAAATACTATCAACTAAGGGTAAAAAGTTGATCATGTGGTGAATTGGTGATCGTGTTCTACAGAATCGTTCTCAAAATATCACAACAAAATTCATATACGGAAGCATTAAATAAGAGACTAAGCTTATCCCTCGGTAATCGCAGATATCTACCCACTTCAAAGGATGTTGACATCAGAATGAAAAACCTATTTCCCATTCTATTTAAGGATCCGAACATGATCCATGAGATGAACATGCCGATGAACCTTAATAGCGTTCCTAATATACTCATTCTGAATTTTATTAATAAATTGATGAATTTTTGCACATACAACTGTTATCGAAGAGTTCATCCACCTACTTTTGTTTTAAGTACATCATAGTGATTTAAATCTTATAAATTAGATTGCCATGGCTTATCATATGATAACTCACAGTATACCACATTATTAAATCTCATCGTAAAATGTCATCATCATACTGCAGACGATTCAAAAGATGTGGTGTACCTACCAGGAAAAATTCATGCTGAGGTCGTGAGAGAACAGGTTTTTCATTGTAAGCATTCATAAGCGTCTTTTCAGTTGTGCTTAAAGTAAGGTTCTCCACATTTGCCACTCGACCCAAAATTTTTAATCTCTCCCTAAAGGATGCGATTGTATCTAGAGGGAAGCCTTTAACTCTCTCCACCTCATCATTGATCAATTTCTGTCAAGGAAATGTGTCCAGTTCGAACAATTTGTTAATGTAAGTTACATGCTACCGGATGTTACAGAGGCAATATGCTCCAAGACAGACGGCAGAACATGAAGGAGAAAAGTCATGTTTATTCTTCTTACACTAATGTGTTCTCGGAATTGTTCTGGAAGTTCTTTAGAATATTTTTCAGAGGCTTTAAAATACAAAACCACGTTCATTCCTTCTCCATCACTATCACTTTGGAAGATAGTGGCAGGATATAATGGTATCTGCAGGTAAAAATCAAAAGAATGTATCAGTAAAGAGAGCATCATGAAGAAAAAAGTTCCAGTTTAACATTTTTTTAGACCATCTAAGATTATCAATACAGGGCCAAAAACTTTGCATCTAACTTTTCTAAGGTTGAATAAATGTACATTCTAATTACCTAGCTAAACAAGAAGATATGCAAATACCTGAACATTTACTACTAGAATAGAAGGGACATCTCCAGCCATATTTATTGCTGGAAGTTGTACAAAACGAGCAATATGATCAATTTTGCGCTGAGACAAGAAGACGTCAGCACCTATAGGATAGAAAGCAGCACTGCTTGGAGCAAATTCTTTCTTCTTATCCCTGCCAATGGTGCAGCAGAGAAACATATATATATATATATATATTAAGAGAGAAGAATAATTCCAGAATTCTTAATAATGTCCTCAACACGTGTGCATCCTTAAAAGATTCAATCATTGAGAGAAAGCTTAGTACAAAGCATCAAGACATTTGGTATGTACCTAAAGTAGTTTTTTCCTCTGACTTTGAAGGAACATGGCTCAATAGGTGACCAAGAACCAATCGTTTGCTTATCTATTGAGCAAAATGGAATATTTGAACCTGCTAAAGGTTTTTGTTTGAGTGCCTTTGGAGAATCTGAGACAGGAAAGAAGGCATGAATGAGTTACAGGCTTACAAGCATTAGTTATAGAGAGAATAAGCAGTAATGCAGCGTGCATCTAGAGAATGACATGTACGTAATTAATCCAGTTCAACAAAGAAGAGTTCAGCTGACAGAAATAAAGCACTAGTTTCCTTTATTTCTTCCTTCCTCTTACATTGTTGTCATTGTGTCCAGATCAATTCAAAAGGTTCATGTATAAGTGAACATTTTTGCTTGCATAAAAAGTGAAATTGAAAGAAACCAAAAACGAAAGCAACTGGTACAAATGAAAAATATTGCCGACACTCACATAACGTCATATCAGCGTAACTTTCCCTCCATTTGAAGGAAAGTTTTGAAAGCGACTTTCTGCGTGAATTTGGTGTTTCTGGGCTGGTTGGCCTCCTTTTCTCAAGAGAGAGAGCAGTAGATGAGAGACATGGAAGGCAGGTGTTAGGAAGAAGCCCACAATTATCTGGAGTTAGTTTTTTGTCCTCTCCAATTCCATCTGCATGACTGATAGAAAGCTCCCCCGCTGAGACAGAGGTTGCCTCAGCTTGAACACCCTCCGGTCTCAATCCAGAATCTTTTGGCTGCACGGAAGTTTTAGCACTCTTCAAAAAGGAACTGCTTCGACCATAATTATGAGAGTGAACTCTCAGCTTCTGTTGTTGGTCAGAAAATACTGATGCTTGTTTGCTTTCAGCTATGTCCCCGGCTCTAGGAGAACAGTCGCTTGGTCTGGATGCGATTTCGGACAACCCATCTATCAGAGATCGCATTAATTAATGTAAAAACAGAGTAGTTTGTTTGCAATCAGAGAGAGGGGGAAAGTAAATCTTTAATAATTCATAAACCACTGACCGTCGTAGACGCTATAAAATTCGTCGTCGCATTCAGAATCCAAGGCAGAAGTAGAATCAAACCAAGCTGCATCTAGAAACAGAAAAAACGAAGCTCCAATGAACTGTGCATTTAATCGAAAATTTAAGTTCACACCCAGAAATGTACAAGCCAGTACGGAAATGTCCAACAAGGAAAGAACAAATTTAAAAAAGAACAAGAAATAAAACAAACACAGCATAGGATATCATCGACATGACAGTGAACTACTAAACTACCTGAAGCGCGACGGGAAATTTGTAAAGCAGAATTTGTTTGGGATAGCTTTGTATTGCCAAAGGAATGGACGGCGTCGATCTTGTGGGACAAAACCCGTCGGCGGAGAATTCTTCTTCGCCCGCGATTATTCTTCTTAGACAACCCCGATCGGCTCTCTTCCCTGACTTTGGGCCTCGACCCACAAGCTCCCATAGTCCCTTTCTCTGTGTAGCACGAACCCCCTTCTTCACCGATAAATTAAAAAAAAAAAAACGGTGGATTTTCCAGAAGGGGTTGTACCAGATTTAGAGAACGTTCCCCCCGGCTGAGATCGAATTTAGTTTATACGGGGAATGCGATCACGCCAAGGTGTGGAGCCCACGTTTGCTGCTCCAAATGTTTTGATCGAACCGTATGAGTGGTGCCACGTACGTAAGGCCAAGATGCATGAACCGTGTGAAACTGAATAGCGTTTGGATTTAGCGCAGTCACGTTTAGACAATCGCATTTTGTTTATTATTGTATTAGTACGATCGACATTTATTGCTCACGGCGTTTTTAGTTTTTTTTTTTTTTACCGAGAACCGGAAAGCCGAATTTATCTGTCAGTGCAATTAAAAAAATTACAGTAATTGCATTATCATATTTTACTATCAAAATAGTACTAGTAATACTCTCTCTACGAAGGCTCTGTAATTAAAAATTAGTTCGGCGGGTGTTGAAATCGATAATGTTAATTTATTAATGGCTCGTTTGACAGAGAAAAATGCTTTTAGTCAAAACAGAGGTAAAAGTGGGAATGAGAATAACAGCGAAAGGGTTAATTGCTTAATTTCCAATTATTTCATCAAGTGACTTGAAGATGAAAAAATAGTTCGATAAATCAAGAATATCACATCATTTATAATTTGTATAATTAATATAAATAAAATTTTATGTGATATTTTTAATTAATTTTTATAAAAAATTAAATATTTAATTTATTATCATTTTTATTATTGTTAATATTAAAATTAATTTATATTTAATACTATTTAAATATTATATTTTTATATTACAAATGACAATGTACTTAAAAATTTCTCACTCATGAAATGATAATGGCAGGCGGAGAGTCGTGATCAGATGGGCTATTATGGGAGCACGTGTTCCGCATATTCGCACACACCTCAAGGTCTTCACTCGCATATCATTAATGCCATGAAGTTCCTTCGCGCAAACGCTGCCCGCCATTTGGACTTTTATCTCAACCCTTCTCCCTTCATTCCTGAAAAACAGGACAGAGATAATATATCTTTTTATTTTATTTATAAATTATATTATCAAATTTTTATTATAAATTTTTTGATCCTCCGGTTAAATATTAGATAAAGGAAATATTTCATCTCTCTTTATATCTAAAGTATTTTTTAAAATTTTAGCTTATTTTTAAATATAAAAAATTTCATAATATTTTTAAGTAGTTAGATAATTTTACTTTTATTTTAAAAAAATAAATAAATATTAATTGGATACTTTATCCATTACCACCGTGTATTATTAGTGATAAAATTAAAAAATTATTATAATTTAATATAATTTCAACTAACTAATAAACTTTTATTAATATATATGATATGGTTAAAAACACCTTATATATAAGGATAGAAAAAATATGTTGTTAAGGTGTATATATTTGATAGAAATAAAGTTGAGAGTTTATTAATTTTTTATACATAGTTGATGGGTTTTAAGATTTTTTTTAATTATAAAAAAATATTGAAACGACTTATAAATAAGATTAAAGAAATACATTTTTAATCATATATTTTTATTTTTGTAAATTAGACTAGAGTGACCCTGCAAATCTGCACAACATTCACAAATCATAAAATCCACAATCTTCTACTCTTTTCAAACCACAATGTAAGTCATTTTTTAAAAGCACATTTGATTGAAAATATAAGACATTGATTAAATTTTATATTTTTTTTACCATTTATACTATTGCTTTTTTTTTTTTATATTCCTTATCAAATATCAAACACATATTATCAAGAAAACTCAAGGGCGTAAATATAAATGTGGACATTTTTTAGAAAAATAAGGAGATAATAAAACTTTTAATCTCTTAATTTATCTCAATTATCAATTTAATCCCTTAGACTTAATTTTTATCGATTTGATTATTTATGCTTTCTTAAACTGTCAAGTTAGTCATTTAAGTTTTAAAATATAAATTAACTATCAAATTAATCAGATGTATGAAATATATTGATGATTTAACATGTTTGTATAACTAAATAAAAACAAATTAACTATCAAATCAATTTAATTTTTATTAATTTGGTTCTTTACATTGTGTTTTGTTTTTTGCTTTTTAAAATTTATAAGTATTTTTCTTTCATAATTAAATAATTACACTCATTTTCATTAATCTATATAACTATCAAATGTTACCATAATTTAATAGTTTTAATTATTTTTTTTAAAATATAACTTTGAGTCCCTATACTTCATTCACATTTTGCCATTAATCCCTACACTTTTTTGTTAATATTTTATGTCCCTAAAATTTTTATTTTTTAATATTTTAGGTTTTTCTAAGATCTTTACATTATGTTTATAAAGGGATCTGAAATATTGAAAAATAAAAGTGTATGGACTTAAGAAATTAAAAAAAATATAAGGACTAATAACAAAATTCAAGCAAAATGTAGGGGTCCAAAATTATAATTTTTATTTTTAAAAACAATAAAGACCAAATTGATTATTTAAATAAATTTAAATGATCAAATCGATAACTGCAATAATTAAGAGATTGAAAATGTCATTATTCCAAAAATAAGATTTCAACTAACATTTTTTTATAAAAATTAAATTAGTTACCAATTTTATATATTATAATTGGGAGGGACTAATTTGTAAACATGCAGTTTTTTAAATAATTTTCATAGGCAGATTAATATTGAATTATTGATATCGATCTAATTAATTTTCTTAAAATAAAAACCATCTAACAAACGTTAAAAATTTATTTTCATTTTAATTAAACCTTCTTAAAAAATAAATAATCAAAAATAAAAAAATAAAGTTTAAATAGTCTGGATAAGCTGATTAGAATATCTCTATAACCAAAGGACTAGAGTAATTTTTTAGAAGAATGATAGCTAAATCCTAATATATTGAATTAAGACAATTAAACCTCAATAAAATTTTTTGAAAAATAAGTTAAAAATGTCAATCAAGATAATTACAAATTTAAAATTTTTAATTATAAATAAATACTTAATTATCAAGTGTAACTTTTATATTATAACTGTTTGAATTAAAATTTATAATTTATTTTTTAAAAGATATAACTATCATTAATTTAATTTATTAAGATGTAACTGTCATCCCTAATTTCTTTGCAGTGTTTCTTTGCTTTACGCGGTAGTTTTTTCCATTCAATGTTAAAGTTTTTGAAAAATGACGGAAAAATTTAAAAAAAATCAATTAATTCAAGTTATATTTTAAATATTAAATTTTAACTCTTTACTTTACAATTTTATTATGATGAATTTACAACTTATATTTTAAATTTTAATAAAAAATAAATTATAAAATTGAAATATGGAATTGTAAATTTTTAAAATTTAATATTTAAAATTTAATTTAAATTAATTAATTTTTTTTGAGCTCTTTGCCATTCTTTCTAAAGTTTTTCAGTGCGCAGAAAAATTTGCATGTTTTGACCATTATATTGTCTTTCCAGCAGCGCTGGGCCTTGCTGGTCTAAGCCTTTTGGAGTATTAAATTGTCCTGTATGCACGTACGAGTTTTCGCCTGCTTAGTTGGTTCGCTTGATGAGTAAGAATCTTTTCAAAATACTAATATTAAATTTAAAACTTTAATATTAAAATATAATAAAAAGAGTATTGAAATTAAAAAAAATAATAATTTAACATTGATATCCTTTAAAAATTTTTATTTATCATTCTCTCTTTATATTATTTCAAAATACTCCTAGCATCAATCAGTATTTGAATTAAATTAAAGTTTAAATTTGTATTAAAAGATCAAAGTTTGGATTTTTACTGTTCATATTTAATCCTAGATCATATTTTAAATATTATTTGTAATTGGAGTATGTACATATAAGATAAAAAAAAATTACTCCTTTCTCTTTAGAAATTGTTTGTAACAATAAAATTTCAACTGGCATGGCAAAAACGTAAAATCTTAATATAAATTAAGGTTTTTGAGTTTTTTTATCTCAATTTGCTTGGATGTAAAGAAGCAATAAATAATAAAAAGAAAATAATTTGATTAATGGTGTAAAGCTACCTAAAGTAATAAAACTATGAGAAAATTGAAAAGAGTGATTAGATCCTAAATATAGAGTGATATAAAAGATAATTAATTAATAAAATGTCAATTTATATATTGTTGTTTGTTGCTTTTTTACTGCTACCTTTTCTGTCCTCTCTAAAGTTCTATTTATAATGCTTATCTTAGGTTATTGTTTATGCAAAACTAGGAGCTCCAGTGCTTTGTGTTGAAACATCCACTTCTATTAGGCTTTGCCTCAAGGGTCTCCATGACTCAATGTTTATTTAATCTGGAAGGCCTATTCTAAATGGACCAAATGCTACTTTATTGAATGTTTTATTAGGCATAACTCTTCGCTTCCTACCAGTTTAAGCTTTTATTGAAATGTATACATTTTTAGGTACAAACACTTTGATTTCAATACCATCGTTATTCAAGGTGACGGTACGTAAATTAAAAATGTTCTAAATTGGCATAGAATATATATTATATATTAGCTAAAATATCATCTTTTTAGAAACCGCATTATTGGGGGTGGGGGGAATGGTGTATGACACAACTGAGTTTATCTTTTTCTCGGTGTTCATGGAATGATGCACTGGAAGCCACTTCTATCGTTTTCGTTAACCCGCTAATTTTTATAAGTTGGGTTAGAAAAATGGAGCTCATTTTTATAAGAGAGACTCATATTTTAAAATCGCTCAAGTAAATTAATTACAAATAAAGACTGATATAAATTAAATTATTGTTAAAATAGAAATGATTAATTAACAATAATTTATTTTATATTAATTATAATCTGTAAATAATTTACTTAAGTGTTTATTGAATATGATTCTTCGTTTTATAAATAAGCTCGGTTAACACGGCCCATGAAAGAGGCAGGCTATGGGATAGCCCATTTGTGTTAAAAGAATCTTAATTACCTTTTATTTGTTGGTAAAATTCCCTTTTATTTTCTTGGGTCTTGCTGTCCAACTAAGCCTAACCCATGCGACCGTCTGCTCACCTCGCCTCCCATTGTT